GAAGATTGAAGATTGAAGATTGAAGATTGAAGATTGAAGATTGAAGATTGAAGATTGAAGATTGAAGATTGAAGATTGAAGATAGGAAAAAGGGCAAGGCTGTAGAGAGTGGGCATGCACTTTAAAGCGGCGGCCAGCAGGTGAGTCCCCACGTGACCCCGCCGTCAATTTACCATGATTTTTTCTTGCTGCGCTCAAACGCGACTTGTTGGATCCGGGACTGCGACTGCGCTCTACGACGACATCTTCGCCTTGCCTCTGGTTGGACGAGACTGCAATTTGCAACGCCGGCAAGATGTCTGAAAACATACTGTTCGAGAACAGCTTCAAGATCACGGACGTCAACAGCGCCAAATACGACCGGGTGTCGCGCATCAAAGCCTACAGCGAGGGCGGGCAGGAAGTGCTCCTCACGCTCGATGTCAACACGGAGCTGTACTCGCTCAACGTGGACGACCGCATGACCGTCGCGCTGGCTCTCTCGCTGAACCTCGACGGGAGCAAGGACGACGGCAAGGGCTGGAGAGAAGTCGGCCGTGGGGAACAAACGCTCGCGGACGAATTCGACTATGTGTGCCATGGCAAGATTTACAGATTCGAGGAGGGTAACGGAGAGAACATGTGAGTCTGCACAAAGATCCCTGCCTATGCATGGCGCAGCAGACTGCTTACACCATATCTAGCAAGGTCTATGTTTCCTTCGGCGGCCTGTTGCTTTACATGGACGGCCCGTATGCCCTTCTCAACGCACTCCGGATCGACTATGTCTACTTGCTGATCAAGAAATAAATCCGACGGCACTTTCCGACCGAGGCATTTTGGGGGAATGGGAGTGAAAAACAAAAGTCTCTTCAGCGAAGGCGTTCATGGTACTCGTACGGGAGTGGTCCCTCGAAGGTCTCAAGCAGTTGGGAATTCCAACTTCCTGTGGAGCCTGGACGAAATCTCGATATATTCGGGCTCATTTTCCTCGGTCAGAATGCCATGCCGGATGAAGAATTCCAGCAAAAGATGGGCACAATTTGGCTTGAACCTTCCGTCGGCCATTGCCTTTTGAACTTCCTGCACCGTCAAGAGCTGGAAGTCAATTGCTTCGTCGTCCCCCGGACTGGGTATGACATCCGGCGGCATTTCTAGGTCATAAATGTATTGGACCTCGGGCTGACAGAGTCCTGTCTCCCCTCCAGCTCTGGCATCGCGGACGTGAAAATATGTCAGTGTCCCACAAGCCTTGACTGCTGAACGGACAAGCTCGGCGGGAAGTGAGGCTTCCTCCTCACATTCCCTCACCAAACACTCGAACGGCCTTTCTCCGGTGCTGATGCCGCCGGCGACGGTGTTGTCCATCATGCCGGGATACGTTTGCTTGGTCAAGGAGCGTCGAGGCGTCCATATCTTCATACCCTCGTCAGTCCTCACATAGCCTGTCAGATGGACACCATAAGTGACCACTCCAAACAGAGGCGATGCGGACCGTTCCATGTTCAACAGCAGTTCCTTGTTTGGACCGTATACTGGATAGAGTTCGGCACGCCAACCGTCTAAGACGCGAAAGATCTTTCTCTCTCTGACGTCCTGGAGGTATTCTGCCAAGATGTTGTTCCGCTCCTCCAGTGTCTGGACTGGTGCACCGCTATCATCGCGGGGTTGGAAGATTAGACGCCTTTTGCTGTCATCGCGAGTCCAGTGTTGGGTGATGGGTAGTTGAGCTGCGACTGTCGAAGTCACATAACCCAGACATGTCTCATATCCCTCCAGGAGAAAATGATAGTAATCCTGCAGAGTTGCCTTGTATACCTCGGGACCGTCTGAGTAGTATGGAAAGCTTGAAAATCAGTTCAGTTTTTGGTGGCCCCAAGCCATATGATATCACTTCGCCCACTTACTTGTCGCATTCGTTGACCAGATCCAGATTCGTTCTCGGTCGTTTCTGTCCCATGATGGTCGTCGGACGGGCAGGGCAGTTGGAAGTCTTTTTTGTTTCTGCAAGCACAGGCCGACCTTGGTTTGACAGATAGCTGGTCTTATCTCACTTCGACGGCCTGCGTTCGAACTGCGTATCGTAACTGACTGCTGGCCGTTGGTCGCTAGTCCTCACAGCTGCAAGAAAGAATCCGGAGAGATTGAGAGATTAGCAGGCCAGCCTTAGGTACCAAGGTATGTGTACGAATACTCTGTAAGGTACAGTATCTAGGCACCTACCAGGGAGGCGCTAGGCGCGGATCGGAAAACGCAGGCACCGAAATGTTCGACTTAGTACCTAACCGAAGGGAGGCACTGGTCAGTGGTGGTACTGTAGTAGTCTCTCTGTACGGAGTACTGGTACAGACTGTTCTAGGTGCTACCAGTTACTACTACTAGTAGCACTAGCATCACACGGGCTAAGGGCTTGGCGAAACGCCGTCATTTTGCAACTGGCATTGGTGGCATGTCATGTTATAACGACCCCGTCCGACCGGTCGTGTGATGGAAAAAGGACCTCGACGGCCACACCAGTCTGTGTGATGTATATATGTGTCTGTTCTTCTGTCGATCTTGCGCAACGAGGACCGGCATATACCACAACCACACGTGGAATCCGTACGACTTCACTCCGCGTCAGTCCGACGAATTAGCACCACGACGAGGCTGACCAGCCAACCACCATCTTACCAATCGCCAATCACCCGTCAACGAAGTAGAAGCAGTCCGGGCACCTACTTCAGACGACTGCACCGGACTTCCCTTGTCTGCTTGTCTGAAAGCTGTTTGTTCGAGGTAGAAGCCAACGCAACTCAGGCGGACAATCCACAGTGTGGACTTTGGGTCCCAAGGCCAAGCAGCAACCAGCAAACATGTTCGGCGTGTTCATCCCCTCGCGACCCGTGATCGCTGAGATGACCAGCGTGTCTGCGAACCAGTTCGCAGTGTCATTCCCGGCGGCTCCAACGTTCCACAACGTCGGCGTCTTCATGCATCCGAACAACCTGCTTCCTCCCGGTACGGCCGCCGGCGTCTACATGCAGCTGCCCGGCGAGCAGGGGTTCAAGTTCCTGGGGGCCATTGGCAACGAGAAGCCGTCGGCCTTGTTCAGGGTGAGCATCCCCGACTCGCAGACCGGCGGGGAAGTCAACCTGGGCATCTCGGTCGAGCCGGTGCAGAACATCCAGGCGCAGTTGGTGCAGCTCCAACAAACGCCGTCGGACTCGAATGCGGTCGTCAAACGCGCCCCGGCCCCGGACACGAGGGTGCTCGCCCAGCGCATCATCAAGAACGCTTTCAACTTCCTGTCCAGCTTTGCGGGAAACACGGCCAACGGCATCGAAGTCATCCCTCTGAAGAGCTTCCAGGATTGGTGGACAAAGTTCGAGAGCAAGGTGCAGAATGATCCGGGTTTCCTGGAGAGGGATCAGGACTGATAAGCAAACTGAACTTGTACCATGTCCATGTCCGCCATCAGGAGGTTCGTCTGTGCTTATAAAAGAATGGTCGAGTCCAAAAACTTGCGGGAAGGGGTGGGTTAGGCTTCTTGGCGATGGCCAATAGAACCCTGTACGAGCAGATGTCGGTCGACAACAGGAAAAGCCAACGTGTCGATACTGATGGAGACTCGAATTCGAGAGGCAAAGGTTGGCTAGGTCAAGGCTAATGCTAATCGAATCCCAAAATACAGTCTAACCGTGCCCGATAGCCCAACTCCAAGTCCAACTCCAAGCATCAGTCTCAAACAACCCAGCAACCCAGCAACCCAGCAACCCAGCAACCCAGCACTCTTCACCAATTCATTGACAGGATCTCATCTTTAGACCAGTACTTGCGCATATTCTCGGCGCCGAGCATGCGCACCTCATCGTCCAGATGGGCCCAGAGCACGTGTGCGAAAGAATCCATGATCTCCTTCAGCTCCGACAGCCGCAACTCCCTCTCGCCGGACGCACATGCATCGAGATAGGCGTCGAACCTTTCCAGACCCTCGTGGATCTGCTCGTGCTGGGTAATCAGATGTTCGTGCGGCGCGAAAGCCGGCATCCGTTCGGCCAGTTCCGGGAAGATATGCTGCTCTTCGATGGTGTGGTGCATGGTCAGGGCGCGGGAGAGTCGCAGACCTTGCGACACGAAGCTTCGGATCGACATCCCTGCCGGCCGGGAGCTATCTGTACATGCCTTGTACAGCAGATTCCAGGTGGATCGGAAATGATTGTGCTGAAGACAAGTAGAGTAGAAACGGTCAGCGCTGCAGAGGTATCATGAGGTTGATGTTGGTGGTGTTGATGCTGATGCTAATGCTGATGCTGACGCTGATGTAACAAAACAAAAACAAAAACAAATGAACATGCTTATGCTGAAATCAATGGTGCTATGGACGTACGTTGATGCTGATGTTGATGCTGATGCTGATGCTGATGCTGATGTAACAGAAATAAAAATCAATAAACACGCTTATGCTGGAATCAATGGAGCCATGGACGTGGATGTACGTTCTCGCATCCTATGGCCTTGTTTCTGTTCCAAGTATGGCGAATTTATGGCAAGAGTGCTTCAAGAGCTTCAAGATACAAAAGCAAGCGCGCGACTCGACTAAACTCACATATGCATCCATCATGACAGCCAGGCGATTGAACACTCCAAAGTCCGCGACCGAGAGCTTCGCCGACTCGGCATCGGGCGCTTCTGTAGGAGGAGGAGGAGGGGCGGGCACTGCACTCTCACTGTCGCCAGACCCAGACGACAACGGTGGCGGCGTCGTTGCCTGTGCTTGTGCTTGTGTTTGTGCTTGTGTATCCAGATATGCCCCCGATGCCATGGTTGCCAATATACAATCTGTAATCTGTCTGGTCTCGAGTGGGTGTCTCTATCGTCTATCGCACGGCCAGAACCTCACTTTCCAGGAAGGATGTGGATGTAGATGTAGATGTTGATGTGGATGTGGATGTGGATGTGGAGCAAATCAAATCCCTGCGATTGTCTTATGGTATACGGGTGCGGGTGCGGAGTACTGAAGTCAGGTAAGGTAAGGTATCTTCTATCTTCAGGAATCAGGATCACTGCATCCGTACTATTACTGAGGTCCCCGACCTAGGTGATTAGATCCTCTGTACTCCCTACGGTGTGGGAGTACGGATAAGGTACAGACTCCGTTCATATTATTCTGCTCATCGCTGATTGGCCTAATGGGTCGGGCAAGCTGGTGTCCTAAGTATCATCACGTGATTCGTGATCCGGTGCGTCTCGGAGCGAGTTCGACCGGAACTTGGCTCCAGCCAAACGAAAAATTGTCGTTCGACGTCATGAGGCGATGGTGACCATGCGGCCACAAGACCATATCACCGCCATCTACTCAGTAGAGCCTGGACACGTACAATACAAACATTGTGAAGTACAAGTGTCGGAAAAGCTTTTCCTATTTCATGGGTTCCATGTTTAACCCTTCGTCTCTCATTAACATGTACAGACAAAACCAAAAAGCGCTAGTAGATTCAAACACCTTGACCGGTTTGACGGTAAACATTTGGTCCAGCATATCAGCGCAGCTCACCCCTAGATGGCAAAGAGAAGGCTTTTTACATTCTCCATGCTTGGTTTCATTCCGATACCCATTTGACTTCAAGTTGGGTTCGTTTCACTGGTTTTCATGGACAGATTCCCCTAGAAGAGGGCGTTTCCCAGTCGGATGCGGACCGACTTGACCTGTGTGTAGTTACTGAGAGCATACTTGCCAAGTTCACGGCCAATTCCAGACTCCTTGAAGCCGCCAAAAGGCACTTGGTAGCTGAGCATGTTGTAGTTGTTGACCCACACGGTGCCAGCCTTGAGAGAGTTGGCGACACGAATGGCAGTGTTGAGATTGGTAGTGTGGACTGCAGCGGCGAGACCGTAGGCGGTCTCGTTGCCGGCCTTAATGACCTCATCCTCGGTCTCGAACTTGCTGATGGCGCAGACAGGGCCGAAGATTTCTTCTTGCATGATCTTCATGTCAGGGCTGACATTGGAGAAGATGGTTGGTTGGATGAAGTATCCCTCGTCACCATGGCGTGCACCGCCAGTCTCGACCTTAGCACCGGCTTCCTTGCCGGACTCGATGTAGCTCATGATTCTGTCAAACTGGAGCTGGCTGACCTGAGGTCCTTGGAACGTCTTTTCGTGGAACGGATCACCGACGACGTTCTGAATAGTCCGCTCTCTGAATGCCTCGACAAACTTGTCGTAGATACCAGATTGGACATAAATTCTCGAGCCAGCACAACAGCATTGGCCATGGTTGTAAAAAATACCGAAGTTGACCCAAGAGATGGCGTCCTCAAGGTTGGCATCGTTGAAGACGATGTTGGGCGACTTCCCTCCGAGCTCGAGGGTAACCTTCTTCAAATTCGACTTGGCGGCAGCTTGGAGGATGGCGCGGCCTACAACGGTCGAGCCAGTGAAGGCAACTTTGTCGACATCCATGTGAGAAGCGATAGCGGCGCCGGCGGTCTTACCGAAGCCAGAGATGATGTTGACGACACCAGCAGGGATACCAGCCTTCTGGATGAGACTGGCCGCATACAGGGCCGACAGAGGGGTCTGTTCGGCGGTCTTCAGAACCACGGTATTGCCGGTGGCCAAGGCAGGTCCAATCTTCCAGGACCACATGAGGATGGGGAAGTTCCAGGGAATGATCTGGCCACACACGCCGACAGGTTCGTGTCGGGTGTAGTTGAAAGATTCGTGGTCCGTATCAATGGTCTTCCCGTGGATCTTGTCTGCCCACCCTCCATAGTATCTCAAGCAGCCCGACGCGAGCTGGACATCAACCTTGGCCATAGAGATGGCCTTGCCATTGTCAAGGGATTCGATGGCAGCGAGGATATCAGTATGTTCGTCGAAGAGGTCGGCAAGTTTCGTCAAGAAGTGGCCTCGCGCGGAAGGAGGGGTATGCGCCCAAACGCCTTCAAAGGCCTTTCGGGCGGCCTTGACAGCGATGTCGACATCTGAGCGCCGTTGTCAGCATCAAAGGCGAGACATTTCTTCCTTTTGGGGTCCACTCACCTTCTGGACCAGCCTCGTGAACTGCGACAATGGGTTTCTCGTTGGTGGGGTTGATGGTCTCGAAGGTCTTGCCCTCAACACCCTTCACGAACTTGCCGTCAATGAACAAACCCAAGGGTTGATCATAGGTGACGGAGGGCGTCTCGATCCGTTGGGTTAAAGACATGGTCAGGGTACTGGGAACGACTTTTGTGGAAAATGGGTATCAAAGGTCAAGAGGGGACTGGATGAATTGAAGGAGAGGGGAGGGTTCAACCGAGGGCGAGGGCAGGCTTTATTTGCAACCCTCGAGCCTCTGGGTGTGCGTGTCACTGAGTCTGAGACCTTCCCCGCGCCATCCAGGGTTTGTACACTGTAATGACATCTACCGAGCCTTTCGCTTTCCTATACTCCGAGCCAGTCAGGAGGCACAGCAATAGACTTCATTAGGCCGAACGGCGGCTGCACGATCCCCATCAATGCGCTGAGGCGGGAGGCTGGCAATTGGCTGGCCGGGGCGGCCTGGAGCCAACTGCGGGGTTTGTTGAAGGGTCACCCAGCACGGCCAGTGGATGTAGGACGGTGGTGGGCACTGGAGTAAAGGATGGCAACCGGCGGCTCGAAGGATGGGCATATTATGTGTAGGCTCGGGATCACGAGTTGTGATGATGTCTATTTACCCGTGATCATTATTGTTTGTGTTCATGATCCCGCCACCCGGTCCCGGTCCTAGTCCTGACCTCTGTGTCGCGGGCAGGCGCAGTCTCTCGTGCCAGCTGAACCTGGGCCTCCAAAAGAGGGGTATACTTGGTATGTGCGGCCTGCCTTCAAGTTTTGCGTTTTCACTTGGACCAGGGTGGCTGTCCACCCGCTAGCGGGGATCAGGGTTGAGGTCGCTACATCACTAATCACTGGTTGAAAGGACGACCGCTGCATCGAGAAATTGTGCCAGAGTGCCAGAGTGCTAGGGGCTAGCAGGTTTCAAGGGCGGAACGGACGCTGGACAACGGAACACGGGCGAACGGTTCAAGACCTCTCTTGCATTATTGAGGTATCAGCTTGTGGGTATGGTAGACACTGGATTTCGGTGCGGGCCTACCACCTGAAGGATTAGAGTCCATGCATCAGTGATCTATTCATTCGACCCCGAGAAATGCCGACAGCTGGAGAGGCAAAGAGACCTGCGTCTCCCGTCGTAGCTCGGTTGAAGTGATGAGAGGGAGAATTGGGAGGAGGTGGTGGGTGGTGGTCGGTGGTAAGGACGCCAATATGGGACGGGGAAATAATGGGCCGAAAGTCGAGTGCCCAGCAGTACCTAGGTAGAGAACAGAGGAGCACAAAGTGAGAGGATGAGAGGAGAGCGGAACACACCCTAAGGTAGAGTCCTCAGTCTACGGCTGCTGTCGTGCCAGCCTGATGGTGGTGGTAGCGCAGGTGGCGCAGCTAGGGCAGAGAACCCCTCGCCCGTGAAAATCCCTATGCCACGCGGAATTGAGCTGGCCCCTTTTCTCTCCTACTAGCAATTAGTAAGATATCCAGGTCGCTGGTACGTACCTAACGCTTTTCTACGACGAAAATGCTGCCACACAAGATACCTAGTAAGACGCAAGACACAGTTCATACATGTACAGAGTAGGTACCTAGCACGGATCGAGTATGAGCGTCGTCTTTGTGTCATCGAATTGAAATTATAACGTCGACGTCATTGCAAGATCCTCAACATGATGATCTACCGATGATCAATCGTCGCTCTCATCGGTGAGCAAGAAGGGGTCCTCTCACGTGACAAACGCCACTCACACTCACGTGATAGACAATACTGAACGCAAAAAGAAAAAGATGGTATATGAATCACTTTCACTTTCTTGGCATTTGGCTGTCGTGGTCAAAAAGTTAGGAGGTTGCCTTGAGCCTTGGGCGTCGCTTCACACTCCACTTGTTCACGTGTGCCTTACTCGGAATTTCGGGTCGCTCATCCTACTCGTGTGTGTAAACCACGATTGCTAGGGGGCGTTAAGCAATGGAGATGACCCTTGAGGGAAGCAATTCTGCAGAGACATCCCCACCCGGAGTTGGCGATGTGAGATTACACCGTGGCAAGATATGCGCAGTTTCGGGCTTGTTGGGCAATCAACTTTTTTGCTGTTTTTATGTTTTTGTTGGCAGTTCAACCCGTGGTTGTTTTTGGGCGGCCCGCATTGCTGTGCTGCCGTCCGAGATGCCTATGGTGGGCACGTGACAGACTGCCCCTTGAAGTCACTCACATAGTATTTATGGCCTTGGTAGCCTCGACCACTTCGTAGAATTCGCAGAAGTCAAGACTGTGAAATGGATGCCATGGTCTTTGCTGAGTGAATTGTAAGATAATTGCATTGTTCTATTCCAAAAAAGACTGGATGGCTGCTATCCTAGAGGCCCAACCAGTGCACCATCCCCCATCCGGGAAAACTTGCCTTTCTATTTGCAATGCCCCTTTGTCGCCGTAGCACTATCGTTGACAAGAACGCTCTGATTCCTATCTTGCGTTGACACAGCCACATCGATTGCAGGATTCGCCGTGAAGAAATTGACAGGTTTGAGTCCTACCTGCATCTTCTCACATGGCATCACCGGCCAGTCTTCCACACGAGGATTGTGTGTCGAGCCAAAAGTATGCCATATGACCATGTCTTTGTTCCTGACGCTGGTGGCTTCTTTCTTCTCCTGGCGCTCTCGAATCCATGAGGCAATTCCCTGCCCACCCTGAGATTGCATGGTGTGCTGACCCGAAGCGAATAGTTCGTCGTCATGATAACGAGTGACCCAAACTGCGTGAGCTGCAAATTCAGACCTCTTCGCGTGATATGAGGAGGGATGAGCCAAAAGCAATTGACTGTAGAACGGCGAGAGCTTGTACCCAACTGGTCCGCCGGTGACAGGATTGATTACATCCTCATTGACAATCTTGAAAACCCTGTTGACAGTGTGGTCAAGGTCGTGACCAGATTCGTTTTCGACGAACTGAGTCTCGGTTGTATATCCCACCCCAAATGGATTGTGCACCTTGGGATCCTGAACTGGCATGGGGTGCGATTCTTCTATAAGCAACGAGTTCTCGTAGCCTGCAATCGCCGGATCGATTCGCAAAGAGAAAAGATGTTGATGATATGGCGCCAGCACACCTGGTGAGACAACCGTACCGAACGCAACCCTGTCTCCAATGCCAATAGGCACAGTAGACACGATCCCTGTCGCTCGAACCTCGTAGTGGAGAGATGCATCTTGTCCGAAGTGGAAAGCGAATATGTACTCGTAGTTACTGACGGTGATGATGGTCTGGAGGATTAGCACGCGAGAGCGCGTGACAACGGCATTACCTGTACGAAAATTTGTGTGTTTCCACAAAATGCCGTCGTCAACTTCATGGCAACAGATGGCGTTGGGGATCTGAAGAGGATCTCCCGAAGATGTAGTATGCCAACCGTCGAAATATCTAATGTGACCCAGACAATCACACCCGAGCTGCAGATTGTTGGCATTGATTCCTGCTCCGTTGTTTCCAAGATCAAAGGCTGCCTTGCGTGCGTACGGCATCCGAGGGTCCGCGTAAGGCACAAACATCTCGGAGAGAGACAGTCGATAGAAAAGGCTTCGGCCGCCGTATCTGACGTCGTGGAGAGTTAAGCCTTCTCGGTAATTGAACCCAACCCGAACAGTCCACTTCTCTCAGCGGATCAAGTTACCCTCGGCCACGAATGAGGGGCCCTGCGGTTGCGAGACATGATACGGCTTCGTCGTTGTGCGGTGCTCCAAGAACAAGTCAGGATGGTATTCAACGTTGGAGTCATGGATCTTCTTTTGGTCGTACGGCCTCGCGGTAGTGCTGATTTCATTGGATGTCCCATTTGGCAAAGAATATATATTGAGAACTCGTGCATTCCCAGACACTTCGACACAAAGATCCAGAGGGTAAGCATAATAGTTAGCATCCGGGTGGTGGGATAAATGCATATAGAAGTAGCACTAGATTTCCTTAAGCCCTCAGCTCGACTATAACAGGAATCGTCTTACCATGTTGATCTTCTGGCTCATGTCATTCATGCCGTCAGTCGCATAAGTCCACGGCTCAATCTTCACCAGGGCTCCTTCGGGTAACTGCATCGCCTTGATCGCATCTTGCACCCCGGAGTTGTCAAGGCAAGCTCGCTCAATCCTCTGCATGTCACTGGCGTCGACGTGTGGATGACAGCCATGCAATTGTGCTTGCTTGAGTATCTTGCCTGATGTAACATCGACCTTCAACTGAAAGAAGTGATCACTGTCCCGTGGACCCAGGAACGCCTGAACCATGGCAACCCGAGCTAGCCTAGTTTGCGGAATGTCGTGTTTGCTCTCGGCCTCGAGGAACTGGATCATATCTGCCTTCGGCGGCTCCGAGAGTGTAATGACCCGGAAATACGCATCTTGGTTTGGGAAGGCGGCTCGGACATGATGGGCGGCCTGTCAGTTAGTCATTGACAGCCGAGAGAGAAGACTTCTCGGGAACGCGTACTTGAGATATTTCCTGGGGGGTCAAAGGGTCAAATGGATGCCGCGATGGTGTCGCTGTCATCGCTGCGATAGAGACGCTTCTCAGAGTGTCTCGAGCGACGAATCCAACTGCGATTGCGTCTGCCCTCTATAATCCTATAAATCGGGGAGTGGTCGGCCAATCCTATCATCCCACATCGAGAACCCAGGACGCCTTTTGACAATAGATTTAGCTCACGAGAGGAAGGTACGAGAGCTTAAATGTCTCCAAAGCCTGATACTCCCCAAACGCTAGGTTGGGCATCAAGTCCAACATTGCGGAGGTAGCCGCTCCGTCAAGCCTTGCCGGATATTCGCGATGTCCTCTAGCACAGTCATGTCAGTTACAGTCGAGTGTCCAAGGAACTAGATCGCATTTCCGAACGGAGACATTCTAGAGCAGACTGATTGCTTGCCACAATTGGGCAGGTAATCCCATCTCTAACTCCGGTCTATGCTCAAGGTATCTGTCACTGCGGCACGCACTGGCGAGAGTCCATCTCGTCGCAGTACCGTTAACAAACCGAGTTCGAGGTCTGGGTCGATTTCTGTATTTCCGACGATGGAAGGAAACTTGGCAAGGCCGCCCTGTTATCTGGACCTGTAGTATATTTGGGCAGACAATAATGATGGGCTTTGGGGCATGATGGGCAAATAGACGGGGATCAGGGTCCAGCCTGTGAAGCCAACATCGATAAGAGCTGTATCGCGGTGCCCCGAGCAGGGGGACATTCGGTTTTGTCAAGGACAGGGAATAGCTTCAGATGTGCAGAGGATGCATTAAAGATCTTGTCAAGCTTTTGATTGAATCAATTAACTGGGCGACCGCTGAATTATGTCCAAGCCAGGAGCATGTTCTGGAACTGGCACCGTCAAGGGGCGCTGGTATACATCTGTTGTACACAGAGGTGAGATTCGGGGCAGATAATCTGAGAAACATGCCGATATCCCCCCTGCGCAACAAAGACTGAAGTTCTTGTTGGTACATTGGCGTACGCTCATCATGCAGAAAGAAATCATTCGACGCCAGGGCCATTGTCGGAAGCCTCGCTAGAAGCGCCGAAGGAGCCAACTTTGAGATTTTTGTCTTGGGCTACCATGATTGCCAGGATTTCGAGGATATCTTTGGGGACGGTGTTATCGTAGATGCCGATGAGTGATGAAGGTTCCGGGTAGACCTTGAGGCCTTTGTAGAAACAGAGAGCAGCACCGACGGGATCCGAACCTGTAAAGAATAAGCTTCTACCTCTGATATATAGGAAGGACTGGCGCAGACCTTCTCCAGCCAACGCCTCTCCCTGCGCTATTTGCTGCATGAAGAATGCCTCCTTCTCTTCGATGTCTGTGGGAAAGCCTTCTTCAATGGCTTCTTGAACGGCATGCTTGATCTCTTCTCTTTGTTGCTTGCCTTGAATCTCAGCCTCCTCCTTGGCTAATCTGGCTTGCCTGCGCGACTCTCTCTTCAAAGCTTTTCGGAATTCGGGGTCGTTTCTCCTCTTGTAGTCAAAATACACAGCATACGCTGCTAGTATGTCAGCGATCGACTCGCCTCAAGAAGCTGGTGTATCTTGCATCGACGTACCAAGCAGTCCGGACACGGCCGTGCCAACGGATAGTGTGACAATAGTTGATGTCTTCATGATGGGTAACGGTACCGGGCACCGTTGAGGAGCGGCTGCAGTTCAAACGATTGGTATCAAAAGGATGGAAAAAAGGCCCCCAAACTGTTATCAAATGATGGATAGACCGAGTATATGCCGCAATAGTGACTTCGTCCAAGAATGTCGAGCGAAATAGTGATGTCTTGAATAGCTTCTACTAAATTTCCCAGCTTCAAGTTAACCCCAAACTTGAACTCGCGGACTTGACACTGCAGTTGCGAAGGCCGGGCTGCAGCTGACTGCTGCCAAGCCACGCACATGCTCTTTGTGCTCGGCCGTACCAAAGCATCACGCTGTTTTAAAGAGTGAGAAGGAGATGCTCGTGTGATGCAGGGCGGCGCCACTGTTGGCCTGAAAGGTGCAGATCCGGGGATGGCTGACCCCTTTGGTTCAAGCCGGCCTTGGGCAACGCTTATACCATGAACTCAGAAATCGGACAGAGACCTTGCTGCATGTCTGCATGACTACGAAACATCGTGTACAGCCCGGGACCATCTTTCCACCTGTCTCCTTGTCACAATGGACCCAAGGAACCTCACTCTTCGGAAAAAGCGCAAAGACCGGCCTACCATAAGCGCACCCCGAAATGCCACTGGGCCTGGTATTACGAAGCCGGCTGCACAGCAGAAGAAGTCAGAGAATACTCTGACAGTCCCGCGAGAACGAAATGCCCCTACCGAGACGTCCGATCTTGTGAAACGACGATACTCCACGCGTTATAATCAACTACCTGACTTCAGCACTGTCGGAGCTCCCCCTGTGCCCGGTCTTCCTGGTGGAATCAAACGACGCTCACAAGCCGGTTCACCGCGTCGTCCAGGAACATCGCCGTCACGTCCACTGCTTGTCGACAGTGAAACTCTCAAAGACCCAAACCTTCCACACGAACGCTATGTTACCGAGCTTCTGTCTAATGCATCAGAACAAGACATTCATGAATACCAGACCAACCTACAGCGACTCAAAAACCGGAACTCCGCCGAACTACAGCAGAGCGTATATCAGAACAGAACTCAGTTCATCAAGATCAGTAAAGAGGCGGAGAAGCTCAAGGCCGAGATGTCAATCCTTCAGCATCTAATGTCAGAGCTGACAGGTACACTTGGGCAGGCGAGCTCAGGGACCAGCAACAGTACATTCTCGCCAGATCTCAATGGCCCATCGCAACCCAGACGGAATGCGAACAGGACCTCGGTTGCAAACCTGGAGCAGATGTGGAACATCCAGCTTCAAGCATTATGGAAAAATGTCGAGAAATCCCAAAAGTTTCTCCCCGCCGCCCCTGGTCGTCACATCGTCGCGGAAACTGGAAACTGGATTGAACTTGACAGTGCTACGTGGAAGGCAAAACGGCCTGTTCGGATTGTTATCCTGAACGATCATCTCCTGGTTGCGTCTAAGAAACGCAAGCGAACTGATCCTAATGCGCCTCAACAGGGCCCAGCCCCTACCAAACTTGTTGCCGAAGAATGCTGGCCACTGCAAGACATTGAAATCATAGACATGGCAGCTACTATGACCACTGGCAGCCCTGCGGCGGCCGAAGAGAAGGCAATCCTATCTGCACTCACCATACGATCTGGCGGCAGGTCGTTTACATATCGACATGAGAAGCGCGACGAGAAAGCAAAAAACGGACTTCTAATGGCATTGAGAAAGGCCACAGAGGATTGTCGCAAAGCTAGCAAAACCCACGAAGAGCAAAACAAGCCACAAGGTGAAAGCCTAAATTATTTCGCCTCGCGAGACCCGGCATCTGCCAGAAACACAGAAATCATCGAGAGTATCAATTCCGCAAAGGAGAGGCCGGATATCTTGATTGAAGTTGATGGAAAACAGCAGAATTTCAGATGGGTGGAAGGACAAATTGATGACCTTGATATCGAGATCTCTTTACAACGCTTCGACGAAGCTGTCGAAAAAGTGGAAAGGCTCCGCAAAGTCGCGAAGAGTTTGAAGAACAATTCAATCGCTCAGGAGCTAATCACGGTCAAGGTTGACGAACGTGCTGCCAAACTCGCAGCAGTCCTTTGCCGCGAACTCGTGGAGACGCCTTCTTTTATGGAAGCCACCAAGAAAACATCCAGCTACCTCATCCGTCTTGGATTTGAAGACAGGGCTCGAGAGCTTTACTTGAACGCGCGGAGCGAGACTCTGACCAAGCGGACACGACAGTGCGTGTTTGAGGGTGACCTCCATCGCTACGTGTTCACTATCTCTTATGTCTACTTTACAATTGTCAAAAACACTGTGCTTATCTACCAGGCCTCGTTCCCACCTGTCACTATCAGCGCGTGCATCAAGTGGGCCAATGAGCACCTGGAGACGTTCAATACTTTGCTGGTACGGCAATTGAGTGCCATAGAGAAGGACGGCAAGCTGTGGAGAGAATGCATGGACGTGGTCTGGGCCCATGAAAGGGAAATGTTGGGCGAGGTCGGTCTGGATTTCAGAGAGGTTATCGGACGGGGACTCGAGGTTAGAAGCATCCCCAGTCTCAAATAAGAACCATTCTGAAGGTAGCATGGGGCAGAGGAGGTGAAAGCCGCATGTTGGCGCCAGTGCTTGAGAAACTAGGCTGCCTCCATAGATGTGGCCGTTTCAGTGTTGGTGCTGGAGCCACCGGAGCGAGAGAAGTCATCTTCATGGTCTAGGATTATGGGCAATTACGCTTGCAATTATGGCAGGGCTTGAGGCATATGCAAGTTGGCCCATACCAGTCGAGTACAAGATTGAAAATGTTGGTAGCACTTTGAGCGGAGATCAAATGTATTGTCTTTTTTGAAAATATTCACAATGGTGTATGCAAGATGCAGGACAGACTCCGCGCTTGTCACTGATGCTGAGATTACAGTTTCCTCCTTATCTTCCTCGTCTTGGACCTTGAGAGTTTTGATTTCTTGTTGAGACCCAAGACCGGTGCCCCAGTGGTGTTACATGGTGTACAATGTGTACAAATTCGGAACCTTTGGCTTTGACTTGTGCTTGTCGGTTGTGTGTTGCCGGATTGTGTCTGATGTTCGGGCAGATGCAGCACCCAAATTGCGGAATTGCAACAATTACTCATTAATCTTGGCGAGCAGCCTTGTCATTGTCAGTAAGATGCTCGGTACGTTGAAAGTCCAGGTATCACATACTCATGGTCCCGGAATAGATGGTACTCTTCCTCTCCGACTTTCACGGGGCTGCCACCATACTGCAGAGGGATCTCGTCAGTCTCTATCCTCAATGCGCTCATCGTTACTTGTTCTACCATACCTGAGGAATCAAAACCTTGTCGCCCTCCTGCACACTCATTGACAGTCTCTTTCCATCCTTGTCAAACGCACCAGGGCCCACGGCCAGAACCTTTGCTTCGTTTAGGTCCTTGACACTGCTCTCGGGGAGATAGATGCCACCAGCGGTTCGCGGCTCTGCCTTGATCCGCTGGACCAAAACTCGGTCAAGGAGAGGGACGAGGGATCGGATACTCTTCAGAGCGGTAGTCTGCATATGGAGCTGTTAGCGAGGTGTCCTGGATATCGCAAATGGGATGGGCGCTGGAACACTGGGACGAAAGAGGCTAACTGACCATGTTGAAGATTGCAAGGGTAGCGATTAGAAATAGCGAAGATGGTGTACGGGTGTGAAGCTCTCGTAGACAAGCAAATAAAGGTGAGAAAATGTGCAGAGGACCTGTAAACAGATGAGCATCTATACCTCACTCTAGGTACGGGGTACTTTTTTTCTCGAACCATCCGCAATCGCCATACCTTCCTTTGAAGAAATGTGAGCTCCGATTGGTGTCTTTGACTCCACCTGAGGTACTTGTCTGCTACTGGCCAACTTCCCCGTCCAGCTGGCCAAACTCGCCAAGCCCAATATGCAAAACAAGCAAACAAAGTAAACATACTGCGGCGTGGTCTTTTTGTCTGTGGTGGTGAACGGTCCATCAAGTCGCTCTAATTTCGAGAAAGACCTGTGGCGAAAAGACAAGATGATGGACTCAGATGATGACGATATCTACCCGGAGCACGGTGAGACGAATGGCAACCGACCCCAGGGAGAGGTGAAGATGGAGGATGTGGAAGACGGTGAAGAGGAGGGCGAGGAAGTCGAAGAGGAAAGCGACGTACGCATATCTTCTCGAACGAACATTCTTTGCTGGACCATAAAGGTGACTGTTTACAGGATGACGTCGACTTTATCATTGATGCAGACGCCAAAGACGAGCCTCAAGCAGAACAACCAGGATCGTACGTCTCCCGGGGACGATCGTCTCAAGACCACAACTAACTAACACCGCTCAGACAGACGAAACGCCCCTCAAGCCTTCTTCCAACAGTTGCAGATAATATCAGAAAGTCGTCATCGACACCGACACCAGTAGTCAACAAGGCAGGAACTCCTGCTGCTGATACGAGAGGAGACTCGCAACCACCGAACGACCGTCCCGGCACAGAATTTCCCGCGCGGCATACATCCAAGATCGATCCAAACGGGAACCCCATCCATCCAGCCACAGGCAAGCCTATCCTTTCGACGGACTTTGACGTTGACTTTCCCACCGACTCTTCCAAGCCGTGGCGAAAGCCCGGTGCGGATATTACGGACTATTTCAACTACGGCTTTGATGAGTTCACCTGGGCATCTTATTGCCTGAAGCAGCAACAAATGCCCAAGGAAGTCAAGGAGATCACCCAGCAAGCCGAGCAACTGAAAGCGTTCGTCGAAGGGATCCCTGGCGGTGGAATGCCTGGCATGCCGCCCATGTCTGGTGCTCCTGGTCCAGGTCCAGCTTCAGGTGCTGGTCCTGCCGGTGACATGTCGCAAATGGCAATGCCCTCTGAGGCTCAAATGCAGCAGATGTTTGCAGCTATGACATCTCAAGGCCTCGATCCGACAGCCATGGACCCGTCTCAATTCATGCAGTTCATGGCCGCCGGCGGAGCCGGTATCATGGGTCAACCGCAACCCCCTACCGGTCCTTCTGGCGGGTTCTCCGGCGGAGGGGTTGGCGGCGGTGGATTTGACCAAGGAGGTGGCGGCGGTGGAGGCGGCTTTGGTCGCGGAAGAGGGAAGGGTGGAAGAAGAAATTGGTAGCGACATTTTCGGCACCCAGACTCCCCTATTCACATCTGATTGGGATGGGACTGCTGGCGATCTCGGCTCGGGATGGGACTACGTTTCGAATGTTTCAAGAAGGAAATCTTACCGTGGGCGGCGAAAATCAGGGCACGATGAACACAAGTTATGCAAGATCGCACGTGGCTGGGTGCTTTGCAAGTCGGCACTGGAATGCGATACGACGAGATGCTTGAGCAGGTGAGCTCGGATCTGGAACGTGGGCCAGGTACAAAGGGTATGTGTGAGATTAGAATAGGTGTGCGCATCTGGAGGAGATTCTTCGAGGCTACTCAGAGCTCAAACCGAAGAAGCAGCTGGACTTCTATTTCGTGCCCAAACGGGACAGACTTCTTTCTGATCCAGCCCCCCGTGTCTCAACTCCTGTCTCTCGCTCCATCCGCGGAGTTCGTTCCTTGGCTTCTGCAAGATCGCGAGGCGTATTTCAGCCTTGCCTCTGCCGAGATCTAGGCTGGACGGCAAGACCGAGCGAGACGGAGCTTACAGCATTGAAATTCGACAGTATGTGTCATGCGGATACTTATGATACTGAGCAAGGGAACGTCAGGGTTGAAATCGTCATTCCGCCTTACAAGCGAATTTACTCAGACGACAATGAAATGTCCGAGGGCATCAGTGACTAAGGAGCGGGACTCCTAAGCCCCTGCGCAATAGCATACCAAGTAGGGCGATGTTGCCAGTGGCCCTGCTACCATCCCACAAATGTGAGAAGCTTCCTACACGTTCTCTGGATGCCCCAGTATTCAATAAAGCCGCTCCGAGAAACGTGTGGCAGATCCGCTGATATCTTCGTTACGGTGTTCAGCATTGTAAAATCTGTCTATATATTGTTAGCCACGCCCCCGCTCCGGACGAATATGTTATTACCAGTGTATGAGGTGAACTTCGGTACCGTGTCCACTGATGCCACGGTACCAGCTCGACCACGTCTCATGGGTCCTGAAGTCCCACCAAGGTTCCGAGCTCCGGGTATCTTGCTATGGAACAATGACTGGCGGCGAGCCGAACCGGGCACGTGAAGATGGGCGGGCAGCTGAACACGCGAATCTGTGGTGAGGACAGGTGCGCGATTCGTGTGTGTCCAGGTCTGATTAGGTAAAGCTATCCTGTGCGCTGGAGTGCCAGGGATCGAGGTATTTGCTTCGAACTGTGAGTAGAAGCATAATGTGTTGGGCGCGGAGAAACATACGTGGCTTGGTCATCCGAGACTTTTCTGGTGGCGGCATGCCCACCTGGTCACCACCATACGCGCTGCTACCTGACCTCTGGTGGGGATGCAGTTGTTCTGGGCCCTGGCGCAACGGTCCACCTCGAAGATCAGTTCTCTCGTTGAATCTCTGATGCTGTGCGGATTGTTCATTCAAATCTGTCCGGGCACGGGCCATAGCCGGCTGTGGTAAAGGGTTCACGGATCTGAGAGTCTGACCATCGTTATTGAAGACCACGCCATGGCTCTGATCAGCAAGGCACTTTCTCTTCAGTGTGTCATATAACTTCTGGGTCTGTGAATGCTTTCTGCTTTTTTCCCGGTAGAGATCAACAAGCTCGGTATATTTATGCTCCAATGTCTTGTGGTCGACCGTGAGCGCTCCGTTCAAGTCAGAATGTGTAGCAGGCTGCTGGGAGTTGCTCGTACCCTCAAGCTTCTTCTCCAGCGACTGGATTTCGGCATTGGCATCGTGGACGATTTGATCTACCGCTGTGTTGAGGTGGTCGTTCTGTTCGCCGAGGTTTCTGGCAACATACTCCTGATAAGAGCTGCAACTCGGTCAAAGACTGCTGGGTCGAAAGAAACCACTTCCTCACATTTCCTGTGTGATTTGATAGGTCCAAAATGCTATTGCCCGGCTTGCGCATTCCATAATCGTTGATGGATCGAGTCCGCTAAGAACACTGGCCTTGTATTCTTCCGAAGGGTTGAGGCGTGTTTGAACCGCGTCATCGATGTTTGGAAGGGCCGTTGCACACACAGGACAGCGACGCTGGGGGCGAGGTGTATCAATCAGGCCAGCCTTTTGGGAGCATGCGACGCAGAAGATGTGCCTATGAGGGGTCAGAAGGTTGAAACCCACAAGGCGCAGGCTGGAACATGCGAGCAGGTAGTAACGACCGCTTCTTGTGACAGGACAGCACGGCATGGTCCGCCAGTCTGGTTGTTGCAGCGTAGACGCTGGTCCATGACCTCAGCCGTAGCATCGAGATCTTCGAGCAATGGAATCGAGCACACGATAGGGAGTTGCCCAGCGGTGACCGGGAGTTAGGCTCTCAGGCTGTTCGAGCTGGAGCGGAATGGGAGACTTGGATAAGTTGTCTTCCACTCGAGCCCAGGATTAGAAGCATGACGTGACCTCGTTCGCATTCAAGCCGGCCAGCCGTCTATAATTGACACTGGGACCTGCAGAGAAGTAGTCCGTCCCTGGAGAAGATAACGAGACCATACTTGCACAAGCTTTGCTCTTAACCAAAGAAGAAGGCGTTGCCCTGTGCATCCCTGCGACCCTTTGCTATCTCCTCAAACTCCTTACCAGCCTTGAACTCTTTCCATACACTGGCGGGATAAATGTGCTTGTTTTTCTCATACCAGCGTCTATCAACCACTTTGGTCAAGGTTGGATCATCGTTCTGGCCCTCTAACTCCTCCTTTGCCGGCGCACGGGGCAGCGAGGACCCCTCGTCGCCCCTTGTCCTGGGAGTGGTGCCTGAATAGTCAAACAAAAGCCTTCCCTTCCTCGTCGGATCGGGAATCTTGTTTGCGATGAAATAGTAGAATTCATAGTGCTAAATCATGTCAGCGTCAAAACTATGGACGTGCGCAAGGGTTCACTCACATGTGGGACGATAACCTCTCCTCTAACACACATCAAATCATCCACACCGACTCTAGCCCATTGCCTCCTGCTGTCCTCTCTGCTTTTGAGACTGGCACCGCTACCAGACACACCTAGCTCGGCACCCAGCTTTCGGCATCGGTCAAGAAAGAGCCATATGTGATCGCCCTTTTTAACCTTGACCGTGCCGCCAGGGATGTTTGCCCCGTCATAGAACACAAACGGCATTGCAATCTCAGTCTGCTTAACCGCCTCTTGGATTTCCAAGAACTCACGCCTCAACTTCTCTCTAGCAGCAGCATCCGCGGCCAGGGCGGCTTTTGTCATGACTCTTGGAGGCGGAAGTGTAGAGTTTGGATTAGGTGTGAATTTCCGAGTGCTACTGGATGGTTCCGGCGATGGCTCCGCAGAGGTTCTTGGGCTTTTGGAGGCCGGGGTTGAAAGTGTGCTCTCATCTTCGCCCTCCTCTTCTCCAAATGATAGGAGACCTTTTGCAGCCTTCTTCTTTTTCTTGAGTGGTTGCTCAGGGCGACGTGTTACCGCACTGTACTTTTCAAGTTAGCCCCGGCCTCTATTGTGCATTGTGAAGAGCTCACCCGTCGCTGTCCTCAACATCCTGCGGCCGAGGGCCGGCAGACACTTCTCGGGCCTCCTTCTCTTTTTGTTCAAGTACATCGGCGCGACGTTTGCGAAAATCGGCGAGGTGCACAAGGCCAACGGTCTGCGACTTGAGGAGTTCTTCTGCTGAGGCCGCTTGACCCGTGAACACTCTTGGAGTGGATGTGCCGGAAGAGGGCCCTGTCTGAGAAGCCATCTGCTAGAATGTTAGTCTGGGTGGCTGCTGTTGAGACGAAACAAGGCTGGGGCAGAACACTGCATCTGGATGGTGGCCTGGCCAATAAATTTAGTATAGACGGCTGGTTCAACCCCCTTTGGGACCGGGGTGATGCCGCCTTAAGCCTTAAGCCCTGTGCTCACCCCAGCTTGCTATTCTGCACTCTGCATACATACATACATATACATACCCGCGCTCACTCGACGTGGTCGAATTCCCTCGCGCCTGGTCGTGATACTAGATGCTATGTAGTATGTGCCGGTACTCTCTAACTGTCCTCAGTGACTTTATAGCTTCACCAGTCCGATCATGAGCTTGTTGTCGATGGCCCTGGATGGCAGGTCCTAACCGGCACCTTGAACAAACGACTGGATGGGGATGACCTCAGAGCCCAGCAGTCTGGCAATTTACACATTTTTCTATCCCCCTTCCAGGTGAGATATCAAACTCTAAACCGGCCAAGCTGCTCGCTACTCTCATCCCGCTTCATGTCTTGAAGTCTTCAAGAAACATCATGGGCCGAGAAATATGCAGTCTCGGGCGCCACATTGCAGGACAGAGCGTGTTCACAGATTATCAATTCCAGACTATCAATCCAGCATCCAATGAACAGATCGAGACTGTGTCCGGGGCGTCTACAACAGAGGCGGAGAGTGCTGTTGTGGCGACCCCTCATGTACATAACATACCTCGACAGCGGACTACATACAGTACAGTCCTCTGATTCGCGGGGAGCAACACGCACCACTCATCTCATCTCGCAGGCTCACGTTCAGGTTCATTGTTTCCCTAGCCTGCTTCGGCACACAGCAAAGTGTCACTAGCCTGGCGACTTCTAGACGCTAATCCCCAGAAAATACGGAATACTAGAGCGCCGAAATAGGGAGAGATTCGTCAATGATCGGCTCGCAGTGTTTCCGGCGTCCTTACGTCCTTGTCCCTTAGCCTTGGGGTAAACAGCACCCTCTTCTCCTTACCCCCGGGACGGGCAGGTGGGGACCCGGGCCCCAGCTTTGTACTGTATAGTAGGTATGTGCAGTATGTATGCCATCACCTGTGAAGCTGAAGAACTAGCTTCGATGACTTTCCCTGTTCACAGGTCTTTATAGGCGAACAGGATCCCCTTCTTCCCTTTCCATTGAAACAGGAACGTCAAATAGTTGATCACTGATTTACCAGCATTCAAATTTACAATCGACCAGGAACAACGACCGAAGTACTGTACCTACAGTACCTAAAGTACAACTCAAACAGAATAGAGTCGTGGCCATGACAAACCAGACACAAACCGCTGATGAAAGTGGAAGTCTCCGTGTCCCATACAACGGAGATTCATCGACATACCAATACCCCAAACACCATCTGGGGAAGAAGAGGCCCCTTCGTTTGATCTTGATAGGTGCAGGCATCACGGGGATAGCGGCGGTCAAGATATACAAAGAGACCTTCCCCGATCGAGATGTGGAAATGGTGATTTACGAGAAGAACGCCGACGTGACGGGAACGTGGCTGGAGAACCGGTATCCTGGGTAAGACTTCCGACTTCCGACTTCTGTCCTATCAATCGTTTGAATCTCATGGCACTTCATGGATTGGATTACTTGAACTTCATATTCATGGTCGCGTCGCATTGTTTAACCCGGTCGGCCATCCAGATGCGCTTGCGACATTCCTGCACATGCGTACTCGTACTCCTGGGAAGGCAACTCGCAGTGGTCTCGAGCATACGTAGGCGCCGTGGAGCTGTACGAATACTTCAAAGGTCGATCGATCGCATACGGAGTTGATGAATTTCTCCGACTCAACCATCGTGTAACTGCCGCTCGATGGGACGACGCACGAGGCAAATGGACGGTCAAGATTGAAGACACAGCAAGAGGCGCGACCTTCGAAGATGAAGCGGATCTTCTCGTCAACGGTGCTGGCTTTCTCAAGTAGGCTTGCCCACTCTTTATGAAATTGCTGACGGCTCGGTTCCGTTTGTCTGTACTAACCATCCTCTACAGCAAATGGAAGTGGCCGGAGATTCCAGGCCTCCACACTTTCGAGGGAAAACTGATTCACTCAGCCGAGTGGGACGACAGCTATAGCTTCGAGGGCAAGACAGTGGCAATCATCGGATCCGGCAGCTCGGCCATTCAGATCGTCCCACAGCTACAACCAAGTAAGTCCAGGTTCGGTTTCGTAGACCAGCTGCAGTGATTGATGATCTGGCACTTGGGGGTATATATACTAACCTGATCAGAGGTCAAACATATGATATCATTCAATCGGTCCAAAACTTGGATCACCCCCGAAATAGCAGCCGAGTTTGCTCCCGAGGGTCGGACGACCTTCTTCTCGGAGAAGCAGAAGTCAACTTGGTTGAATGACAAGAACGAGTATCTCAAATACCGAAAGGAAATCGAGTCTGCCATGAACAAATTCTTCGATCTTCAGTGGAAAGGGTCCCCGGTGCAACAGGCCATGTTTGAGACATTCGCCAAGGCAATGCGAGAAAGGCTGGGGAATGATGAACAACTAATCAGCAAGACCGGTGCGTGGGCCCTGCAGGGTTCCAAGTCTGGACGGCGTGAGCTGACGAGCATCTCTCAGTGCCTGACTTCGAAGTCGGCTGCCGGCGCATGACACCTGTAAGACCAAATCCAATCCTCCTCCACATTGACCAAACGAAGAAATCGATTGGACAATTCTGAACTCACACACGATTTCCCCAGGGCCATGGCTACCTCGAAGCCCTCGCTTCGCACAACGTGACCGTTGAAAACGATCCCATCTCTTCAGTGACCCCGACAGGGTTGAAAATGTCCGATGGCAAGGTAATAGAGGTGGATGCCATTATCTGTGGGACCGGATTCGACACTTCCTTTCGACCTCCTTTCCCCGTGCTTGGTTTCGAGAAGAATCTTCAAGACCTTTGGCAGGACGAGCCCACTTCCTACCTCTCGATTGCGGCTGCGGGAATTCCCAACTACTTCAGTGAGTCGACCCAGCCTCCCGGCATCATCCTGGTTATATTAGCGTTCAAATTCACGTTCACAAGCGAAAACATATGAATATACTGAGTCACAAGTATATGCTAACCGACTAGTCATGAGCGGGCCAAACTTCCCACTCGCCAACGGCTGTCTGCTTCCTTGCCTGGAGGCGAATCTCAGGTATGCCTTTGCCGCGGCTCAAAAGCTTCAAACAGACGGAATCAAATCCCTTGCCCCAAAGCAAGCGGCCGTGGACGACTTCCAGGAGTACAAAGATTCTCTGATGAAGGATTTGGTCTGGACGGGGTCGTGTGTATCTTGGTGAGTAGTAATAGTTGCCATGTTCATTCTGACACACACACACACACACACACACACACACACACACACACACACCTCTCTCTCTCTCTCTC